ACAGGTAGATAGAATTATTATTCTTTTTTTTAACGTGTATCTAAAAGATTCGCACGGTAAAGGAAATACATATGATATTAAAATGAAATCAGCCAGGAATAGTCTGATGCTGTTCTAGCGCAGATATGACCACTTCCTAGTCATAAAAAGTAAATTTAAATTTTGTCAATTTTCCTGCAATTTTTAAATTCTAATCGTAAAAAAAAGAAAAAGAAAAATTTATTTTAAAATGATTTGCATGCTAAATGATTCTAAATTAGATTAATTAAGGGAAGTCAAATTTATGAGAATAAAAAAGAAACGTTAAGACATGAAGTTATCAGTTAAAAAATAAAAAAATAAAAAACAATCGCATCCAATACTTTTTATTTCATAGGTTTTAAAAAAACTATACAAATATTTTTTAAAATATTTAATATAAAATTAAATTTATTGTTGTTACCTATCACATCTTTAGAAAGGAATGAAAAGTCTGGAGTGCGTTCTTTGAAATTTGTTTGGTTTAGGAATTTAATTATCTGATTAAAATTTTAAAAATGTTTTATTAAGCAGGGTAGTCCTATTGAACAGGGGTAAAATCCGAATTTTTAACAAAATTGTTTCCGTAAAATAAAAATTAAAAAAAGATTCAGTATTATTGTTGGGTTCGTCTCCCAATGAAGTGAACAGTTCGAATCCCAGCGATGACTGATTGATACGAATTCTGCTCCCGGTTCGCCCCGACCGCAGCTCTGCCGTGAAATATTCTCGGTGATGGTTGATGGATCCTGGGTTTGAATCACCTAGCCATCGGACTAACCACAGGAATTCTTCGTGGTTTTTCTCTCCGTGTAACGCAAATGCGGGTTATTGAAACAAAAAGTCCTCCACAAAAATTAGTTCGCCCCAATGATTGATCAAGGAGTTCCCTCGTCTTCTGGGTTGGGTTTAAAATTACACGGCAACGGAGTTGATCATTGATAGCCGTTAACTCAGATTTAGGTCAGCTGTTCAATACCTATTATAAAATATTATTATTGTATTATTTATCTGCCTTTTTATACATTATTTTTTAAGTATGTTGTATTGTAAGTCATGTGTTGCACATGCGCAGAGGAAACTAGTTTTATTAAGAATAGTTGTTGCAGAAATGTATCTGTATACAGATACGGATTTCAAAACATGCACTTTTTAATTAATATTAACAGCTCATTTTCTAATTAATAACTATAGTATAATTCCTTTTTTCCTTTAAACTAAGAAAGTACATTATTCCACTATTAGCTAGCACCATTATTGCACTAAAAGCATTTATTTTGAAAGCGAAACACTTAAAACATGCAATATTAACAGGAAAGAACTAGTAGTACTTGAATATATTCATAATCGTCACAATGTCTTGATAGCTAATATGTAAACTTATAGATCTATGCAAAACACAGACCTCAGATTTTGCATCAAAGCAAAAACTTTGATTTTTAATTCACATCTTATCAAATTACAAACATCGTCAATAATCATACCAAAAATGAAAGAACTAAAATTATATATTCACATTTACGGGGTTGCAAACTGCTACGTTTTTCGCACAATATTTTAAAGAATGGCAGACAATTAAAATCCACAGTTTTCAGATTTTTTGCCAATTTTGCTAACATTCAAAAAGACTGTTTCAAAAATTGCGTTACATGTAAGATTTTGTATAATTTACTTGTAGTGGTGTGGAAAAAAATTTAAATCAAATTTACGTAGCAAAGAAGAATTCATTAAAACATAAACTTAGCAACCACTAGATAAAATGTTCCCCAAAATGGTAAAAAATTGGTATCATCTAACATTTTAATATGTGAATATATTTAAAAAAATATAAAAATGCAAATTAAATTGTGTCCTACTCAATGTGTACTGCTCGCCTAAGTTATAAAAGCTGTTAAAGAAACAAAATTTTTACAAACGAAATATTTTCATAGCTTTTTAGCTTCCTTTATGATCATATTATGTAACTGAGATCAGTGGCCGGAAATAGCGCACTACAAGTAGTGGAACTACTGTAGTCGCTACTTTCTTTCGTAGTTTGTAGTGTAGTGTGCTACTTTTTTGTAAAAAAGGTAGCTGAGAAGCGAGTAGTGCAATACTTAAAAAAAATCAGTTCGTAAGCGATTCCTGACAACTACTTTTAATGATCATTTAGAAAAGAAATACGGTTCTAAGGCAACTAATTTTTCGAATTGAATGGGTACAAATCTTTGCTGGTTCGATGAAATTGACCCTGTAGATGTAGCTGAACGTTGACAGAAATTTCGTATCTAAAATCACGTTTAATTAATACTTAAACTAGCCTCTACGAAAAATAGATAATTATTCACTTTGGTCACACTTTCACATACTAATTAATGCACACTCGTGAAACATTGATGTTATTTAAAAGTAAAGGAACGTATTAAACTGGCTGATGTAAACATGAATAAATATTTCTTAGTCATTCCCTTACATTTAATGTAAGTCAATTTTTTATTCATAACTATTTAAAACATAGGTGTAAATTAGGTTCTCCAGCAAAGTTCCTCTCCTTAAAGTAGTGAAGTAGTTACTATACTATTCCAAAGTAGTTTACAGTCAATACATTAAAAAAAAAGGTAGTAGTTCATTTAATGTAAGTCAATTTCTTATTCATAACTATTTAAAACATAGGTGTAAATTAAGCTCTCCAGCAAAGTTCCTCTCCTTAAAGAAGTGAAGTAGTTACTATACTATTCCAAAGTAGTTTACAGTCAATACATTTAAAAAAAAAGGTAGTAGTTCATTACATTTGTGACAAAATAGTTTTGTAATAAACTACAAAGAATACTGTAGTTTTTCCGACCACTGACTAAGATTAAACACAAACATTCTTTTTCCCTTATAATATACCAAATACGCAATACAATAAAAAAACTACATCGCAATAAAGCACCTACAAACATGAACCCTAACACGAAATATATTTTTGAAAAATGAATAAACTGAAAAAACTGCGTTCCTGGTCGTTCGCAAATGCTGATAATTAAAGAATAAATTTGCAATTAGCGAGATTGACATCGGTGTCACTTTCTTGACCTGAATACATTTCGTTATAAACGACGCTCGCGTTATTAGTTTATTTCCTACAAGAATTCGACTTTCACAACGATCAGAAAATAGTGAAAATCATATTACCTGAATTATATAGAAAAAAAAACCGATTCAATTGATACGTTAATTAAAGGTTTCCGAAAATATATTCGATTTATCCTGGTCGCCCTGACACCGATTTCGAAAATGATTTTCTAATCGAGATTTAATTAATTCTAATGAATGAGTTGGTATTTTATTATTTGTCATTAATTGATAATGATGTTTTTATGAAACTTAAAAGTAAAACTTCCGCGTGTACCTTTTTTTTTCCCCGCTCTCTAAAGAATTTCATTCTTTTCTATTTTTAATTTGGCCCAGATGCAACAAATATGATTGAAACCCACTGGAATATTCCAATCTAATTAATCTACTGATGAATGATCAAAATATCTCAGAATTTTAAAACGTTGAAATTCAAGTAGTAAATCACTTGAATTTCAAATAAATACTTATTTATTTATGACTTAAACTCGGAGCCACTTAACATTTAATTGTTTTCTGTACTCCACAAACTTAGTATTATTAGGTAACACAATACCTTAAAAAAAAGGTGAGGGGGAAAAAGCAGGGGCTTTATTAGTTGAAGCTAGCTATCTTTGAAGCTAGCTAACTTTATTAGTTGATAGCTCTGAATAATTTTAGAACTTCTATGGAATTTTCCTTAAAACTTTAAAGCAATAAAATAATGTAATTTGTTGTTTTGAATAAGTCATTTGAAACTACGTTTCTCAGATTTTAGATTTTTTTAATTTCTAATTTTATTTCAGTTTAAACGGATGAAAACCGATTCTGATGACATGAAAAAATTCTTTTAACGTTGATTGCATAAAAATAAAAATGCGTATCAAAAATCTAAAAACAGGCAAATGTCTAATTTTTAATTATCTAACAAAAACTGTTGATTGCAGAATTGTATTGGCTTAATTTTGTCAGAAAAATTTTATGGAGAATCTAAAACATGCCCGCTTTGTTGTGATTGGATGACGGATTTGTATTTTACATGTATCGGTAGATGCTGCCAACTAGAGTAAATATCAGTCAACACTTTATTCGTAAAATTTAAATAAAAAAGGGTTAAAATGGTATTTAGAATTTTCTTTCTCCGACTTTACTTCCTTCAACAGTTGATTTCGGTCGGAAAAGAAAGGGCCTCTTTATCAGTTAAGAGTTTTATAGTTTTATTGGAACTAAACTGTTTATTTTTGTCCAAAATAAATTGTTCAGTTCTTATCAAATTATCACTGAAAGGGTTAAACTCTACGCCATATGGATGCAGGTAAATATAATAATAATAATGAAAACCCATAAGAAAAACTGTATTCTTCGGACAAGCGAGTTGTAAGAGTTTTGTAAATAATTCAAGATGCTATTATTATAGAGTAACATTAACTAAACTTGTCACCGGTTGAAAACGACATATTTGTATAATATGACAAAAATCTTCATAGTTTACATTACTTCATTACTACATCATTTTTAAAACGTATTGAATAATATTCAGTAATTGCAACAAAATTCGGATGGATACATCGAGGGGAAAAAATGGAAGTAAAAGACTAAGGTGGAATTTGTATTTCAGATAAGTCCATATAAGACTTGCAGGTAGTTATCGAAACAGAAATAAGCAAAAGAATTCAAGGTCGGCTAACTTGATCTAGTTCAGACCATGTATAAATCGCCCATGCACTTTTTCCCTCCATTTTTATTTATCTATTAACATCCCACGCGATATAGATGTTTCAAGACCTACACACCGTTGACCGGAATGCTGAAGGCGTGTTTATACTGAACACTTCCACGCGTCTGGCTGAAATCTCATTACAAATACGTTATTGACATTTAATCTTTTCATAATTGATATTTCTTACCTTTCAGTGAGAAGGTTAACAAAACCGTGAAGAAGAGTCAGAGTTTATAACATTATCCGAAATTCAAGTGCTTCGATCTGTTGTGCCTAGAAATATAAAAGAATAAATCAAAAATATAAATAAACTCAATTAGAGAAAATATTGGAAGCAAAAACAATTTGTTATTTTTGAAATATTTACCAATTCAAACTTTCCAGAACATTTAAAATGGTAGTTAACCCCTTGGGGACGGGTGATTCATAAAAGCATTCGTACAAAATCAGAATCAGGATGTAAATAAATAAATACGGTAACATAAATGTTGGCGTTGCTAATTTGACAGACTTACTTAGCCTTTACTTTAATTATTGTTAGTTTAATCATATACATAATCAATGTTAATTCAAAGTATAACTAAATAATTTTATTTTGAACTAAGTAATGGTGAGTTAAATAAAGCAAACAATTATAATAAATTGCCCACAAATAAATTGCTAAAGAACTATTTTGGTTACCAGTTTTATCTTTTTATCCTGATTGATAAGGATTTATCCTGGCACGTATTTGTGACAATTGGCGCGAAAGGGTTAAGTAACAATTAAAGTGAGCACAGGTTTATGCATTTAAAAACATGGGTGAAAGCGAAACGGAAGAGATGGCAGATTAACCATTTTTGTTTTAATGGCTTCCAATTCTTACTTTTAAACTATTTCAGAACATCTACTTTTTCTTAAAAAAGATGCAGTTTTATATATGTGCTATGATTGTTGAAAAAATCTCGGTAGTTACAGAAATTTAATTTTTTGCGAAAAAAATGTTAGAATGAATTGTCTTTCATACCGGTTTTTGCTCCTTTCCGTCTTGGTAGATATAGGCTTTCAGCCCTGTTTTAAAAACATGACCTGTGTGTTTATTATATAAATAAGTGATCTAAGGTGTCAAAATACGCCTCTGTGGACAAAATCATCGAAAATAAAACTTACAAAGCATATTTAACATTAGTGTTGCGTAAACATAATAATTTATTTACAAATGCGCATAACCTCCAACATTTCAGGTTCGTGAGAAAAAAGCTTTTCTGTGGTAACGAACTAAAGCTGATAGTTTTTTTTTTTAACAAATAGAATTTATATAAGACTTCATTACTTTAGTATACAGGGTTATTCATATATTCCCTCCGGGGTTTCGAAGCGTTGTAGTAAAAAAACGAAGACGATTATGGCAAAAAAGAACAAATGAAATTATTCCGAAAGTATTCAAGTTTTATATGCCGCGTGATGCAGCTGACCTGCGTGAAAGGATAACACGTGCTATTAATAACACAGTATCATATTGAGCAGAGTATGGCAGAAACTAGACTATCGCATTGATGTATGCCGTGTGACCAAGGGTTCACACATAGAACACCTGTAATGTATGTAAGTAAAACTTGAATAGTTTCATATGTTTCTTTTTTTCATATTCGTCTAGCTGAATTAAAGAACACTCTGCACATTCTTATATCTCTACCAGAGATACCAACTTGCTGCACTTGTATAAAAAGAGTTTCTAGAAGTAACGTAATTTTAACTATTTTAAATTCAGCACTTTTTATTTTAAGTTATTTTTCCATGACTACTTATCAAGAATTCAGAGTACTATAGGGAATGCAACTTTTTGTAGTTATCTCGTGGTAACACTTTTATTTTTATTCGACAAGTTTTACTATTTAATTCACTGCCAATTTATTAAACTTTTGGAAGAAAGCGAAGTAGTTGGTATCCCTGCATATGCTTTGTATCCCCATCATTCTTTAATTAATCAATATGAATTTATGAGTGATTTTGAGTTCTTCTACTTATAAATTAACGAAGTGGTGACAGTGAAACAGTACAAACAAAGTGAAACAATACAAAAGTAAGAGTACAAAGTGTTGGCAAAATTCAGAAAAACATGGATACTTTATCTAGAGTAGCGAAGCGCTTCCCTTTCTCAAGTGTTTTCAAATTGATAGAGCAGAGATGCCAACTGCTCCGGATTCTACAAAATATTTCAGAAAACGGTAGATTTTCGCTTAACATTGGTAATATTTCAGAAAGCTAATCACAAAATAAATGTAACAAAGTAGCGTTTGATGGAAGCCATTGATATTTGAATTTTTTTAGGAATAGTAGTGGGTAAAATTCCTCTAAATCGAACTTATCTAAACCAAGAATCATATATTAAATGCTATCACTAGAAAATCTATCCGCAATCCTGAAGGAGTAGGCATCTCTGAATTGGCACACAAACAAGATGTATATGTGCAGCATGTGTGTTGCATATGTGCAGCACACATACACATGTGTTATGAAGATGTATATGTGTTCCATAATATGTGGACTCCTACAATTCTGTGCTTACAGTCTGAGAATTTTTACTTCATAATGCATAATAATGCAAGTATGCATTACTGTGTATTACAAAGTAAATATTACAAAAATTATACATAACAAATTAAGTTTCACTAGTTATTCGCTAATTAAAGTCACAAAAATCAAACAAATACTCCGATTAAAGTTTGAAAGTAATTATAGCAAAGAATATGATGGTCCAACCCCACCCCCTTTTTTTTCCATAGCAGATCCGAACTAAACCAGCAATTATTAGTTCTACTTCCTCTCTTGTTTTACAATGGATATTTAGTTTTGCAAATAAATCGCGTAGGCGGACCGACCATTTCGTTTCCGATAACCGATCCTAAAAGAGGTTAAAATTCTGTCTTCCACCTTCGTAATGCACGAACTGAGTCATTGTTAACGTCCAATGGCTGTTATTGTAAGTTTAAAAGAACACGTTCGGACGTGTTTTCACACGATTGTGAAATCAAGAGCCGCATATGTCAGAGATAGAAAGGACACAGGAGGTTATGTTACACTTAGAGATAACGAAATGTAACATTCTTCGCCTTACACACTTCCATTGCAGTCTTTGGTTTCTACTAATGAAGTGGAAACATGACAAATGGCATTTTCTTTGTTTGTTCCATATCACGAATGTTCTGCTTTCTATTGTCTGATTTCGGAAGTCGCATTTTTCTGTCTTTTTAATTCGTATGAATTAGGAACTTGGAAAGATATTAAGCGATCAATCAAATAAAGTATTACTAAATAATACTAGCATATTTAAGACACTCAAGATGGTCTGATAAAATTTTTCATTCATTCAAAAGGCTTAGGGTGATACAATGATAAGCCACATTTTTTTTTAAAAATTGAAATTACTTTTTTTCGTATGGTTTCCAGGTAGGCACTTTGCAAGTTTATGCAATTTCCAATATGTAACATTACAATGCACAGGAACAGCTACATGGATATTGTGGTGTTTTTCACCAAATATGCTCTCCTGAATATTTTGAAAATGTGGTGTAATATTACAATAAGCACTACAATTGTAAAACTGTAATTGGCATCAGGAAAGAAGAAACAAAGTTACCGTACACAATGCTGATTTATAATTATTCGCAAAGATTAACAATCTTCCTTATCAACTTTAAGTAATCTCATTTATCATTAGACACTCATTTGTTTTCTAGAATAGTATATATATANAGAAGAAAAATTCTTGAAATGAAATATTTTTAAAAAAATTATTTTTATTAAGAAAATTTATTACCCAGTTTCTTAATTTTTATTTTTTTAAACTGAATATATCTTAGTGCTGTCCTCTGTATAGTGCTATCTGTCCCTCGACTTGCCGAAGGCGTATTAACCTTAATTGAGCACACAAGCCTGCAAATGCATGTTCTACCAATAAACCAATCCAGCTCTCTCATGGTGTTTCTTTTAAAAATGTTGGCAAAACCACTAAAAATTCTAAAAGCTGCTATAAGGTTTATTTGTCCACCACTCTGTAAAATATTTTTCAAAAAGCGAAGTAGTCGACAGTAATAAATATAACTTTCGAATATCAGTTTTAACAATTAATTCGAAAATTATTTTATATGTATTCAAGTATAATGTTAAAAATATATATATAATTGCAGATTTTGGTAAATAAACGTAAATTATATAGTTTTAATTAATTTATACATTTGAAAGTGATGTAACGCTTGAGCTCTGATTATAATATTAATGGAACACCATTTTTTTAGTAGATTTCGATATTCGTTTCAGCGTGGGATCATTGAATGATATTTTAATCCTTCTAAGATAAATATTTTTAAGAAAATTAATAGAAAAACACTTTGTGCGGTCATTGAGTTGAGGTCTTTAAAGGGTTAGGTCACATCCCACCCACATGCGACTGAAACAAGAGAAGTTATAATACCACGCGGAAGATATCAACTATTGAACGAGAAGCAATTTGGTTTTTGCTTAAAGTTGAAAATCTAATTTATTTTCAATTACAAGACAGACAATTTAAAGTTCGTAAGCTATTTCAGGAGCAGTTAGATATATATTTCCTGCTATTTTAAGAGATTAAATGAAAATATTAATGTTAAATGGTATTTTGTGTATTTTTTTGTAAATGGTATTTTGTATTTCGGTAATGGTATTTCGGGAACAGTGAGATATATATTTCCTGCTATTTAAATAGGTTAAATGAAAATATTTATATTAAATGGTATTTTGTGATTGCTTACATTCTGATGGTAGTTTTAAATATCTATTTCATACTTTCAAAAGAACAAAGGCAATACTAAAAATTATTTCCTTATGAAGACTTATTTTTCTAAAAAAAAAAACTACATTTCTATTTACTTAATACATTAGCATCATTCATATTTCGTTAGGTCATAAATAACTTTTATAAAATTAATGTTTTCTAAAATAGAATATATCTATTTTTTTTTCAAAAGCAAGTAGACCATTATTTTTTTTGTGCTCCATGTTTGCTGTGTCAAATAAAATTTAGTCAATGGGCTAAAAAAAGTTTATCAGTGTAAGAATATTTTAAAATTAACAGATTATTATTTTATGACAGTGATGCAATATACAATCATATGAGGAGTAAGATTCTTGATACCTTATATTCTACGTGTAATACATGTACAGTGCGCAAAATTAAAAAAAGGATCACCCTGGATAACTTTTGATGCAATAAAGTTTAGACCCCTTAATATTAATTTTACTTTTTTCGTATCTCA